CCATAAGCGAGAGAATAAAAATGTACCCTAAATCACTAATTGATCCATCAGCTCAATCTATGGTGTGACGGTGAAGATTTGGCCCTGGGTCCCTGAAGTCCCTACTAGAAAACCCTGTCCTCGGCCTCGGCCCATCTGGCCTAATTGCGGAGTCCCCACAAGTGAAGTAGTAGGGGCTTATGTAGCACCCTAGAATTGGAACTAACTCCCCTGGCCCATGCAGGGATTGGGAGGAGTGAAAAAGTCTATTGATGTCCCACTAATGATTGGGACTTAGATGTCCCGTAACTTTGGAATCCTTGCCTTTGAGGACAATCCCTTCTCAAATGGCTTGACTAGTAGCATAAGTAGCAAGTCTTCTGGCCAGCCTAATAGGAAGCTCTAAAATTTCTCCCATCTTAGGAGGATTGAACTTGGTCATGGCTTTGGTAGCCTCGGCCTTGCCTTCGTGATCCATGTGGGGTAGATATCATTTGTGTCTTCCCCGAGCTTGTAGAAAATGAATGATCCTCTTTCTTCTTGTCCTTAGCACCCACCTACCGGATGCTTTTAGCATCATCTACCACTCTCTGAATGGCCATAGCTGTCTTGACCATCACGTCTAGGTCTTGTAGGTGGTAGCCCAAAATCTTTCCTTGGATAGACAACTTCAAGCCATCCTCAAACTTCCTCACTTAGGCCAAGTCAGTGGTCATGGAACCATCGACGAAATAGGTTAGCTCGATGAACTTAGTCAAGTACTCCATCACCGTCATGGATCCTTGCTTTAGATCTAAGAATTCTCAGGCTTTCACATTCTGAAAAGTCGATGGAAAATACTTTCCTATGAAGAGCTCATGAAACTCTCCCTAAATCATTGCCTTAATATTCTTTGAGGCCTTTGCCTAGTTTCACCACAGATGAGCCTCTTCCTCAAGCTGGAAAATAGCTAGTTATCTGACCTGAATTAAATCAAACACCCAAGTATAATTGGTCAAAGTATAGTATTTCTTGCTTTAAGTCCGAGATCGAGCCCATGGGGTGTTAACTGTTGGTACTCAAAACAAAAAATAGTAAAAATTGTCATGTGTTTAATGTGCAATGGAATAGCTTGTGGTGTGAGCTTAGAATTATCAAACAAACACTTAACAAAAACTTTGAACAACAATGATAAAAAGTACTCTTCAGTTCAGAGATCCAACATGCATTATATTATTTATTTATGAAAATGCCACCTTACAATAATTAAATAACCCTAGTAAACCTGTAGGTTTGATGTATAACTGAACTACATCACATCAACTGGTTAGGTTAGCCGGAAGGTCTATGTACCATGCAACAATCAAATAACCCTAGTAAACCTGAAGGTAAACCATTCAAAAGATTTACTCTAGCTATTCAATCGGCAGGTTGATGATTCAATGATGATAGAGTTCTAGTTTATGCATTGAATGAAAAGCATTGCTATGATGAGATTTAACCCGTTTATAACCAATCTCCCGACTATTACATAATGCCCAACTACATGCATCATCATATCATACATGGATTATATCATTGTTTGTGCTTCTTAAATGAAATGAGATGAAGAATCGGAGGGGTAAGTAACAGATGGAAGTAAAGCAGAGAAATAATACTGATAAAGTGGAGAGAGATGAGGAGAAGTAGTTGGAGTTGGTCCTAATATAGAGGGATTAAGAGAATTGTCATTAGAAGTATTACTAGATAAAGAAAATGAAGCAAACGGAAAAAAGGACTCATCAAACACAACATGATGTGAAACAATAAAGCGATTGGAAGATGGATCAAAGCATAGAAAACCTTTGTAGTCATGAGTATAGCCAAGGAAAACACATTATTTTGTTTTAGGTTGTAGCTTGTAATGATTATAAGGCTTCAAATATGGATAGTAGGCACATCCAAAAATTCTTAGAATTGAATAATTAGGTGTAGCACCAATAAGAGCTCATAGGGAGATACATGTGCTATGTTAGGACTGGGTAGACGATTAATCAAGAAGACTACAGTAGTAAGAAGAGAAAGGAGTAGGAAGAGAAAGAGCAATTTTGAGTATGTGGCAATGTTTTCCCTCAACCACCCCATTCTGCTATGGTGTATGAGGACAGGACTTCTGGTGTGCAACACTATGCAAGCTGAATTAGTTATGACATCAAATTTGAAGGTTTTGAGTTTAAGAGATAATTGTGTTTCAATGTAAGACTTAAATTTCCAAAGTACCAAAAACACATCAAACTTGTTCATTAAAGGATAAATCCATATGTACTTGGTATAACCATCAACAAACAAAATATAGTAACAAAACCCTTCTACAGAAATTTCTGGGGGGGTAACCCATACATCACTATGAACAATATCTAAAGGATGTAAAGAAACTATTTTTGAAAGAGTAAAAGGTTGCCTAGACATTTTACCATAAAGACAAGACTTAAAAAGACTAGTAGACTTCGAAATAGAAATAGAAGTCTTGGATCTTTGCAAAGCTTACTAAAAAACCAAACTGGAAATGATGCCCAAGACATTGATGCCAAAGTTAGGGAGGTAAAGATCTTCCTAGACAGACACTAGCAGACATATAAGCATGCTTAAGTGGTAGAGTTATAGCTGAAGAAGAGAATGCATGAATGGGATAAAGACCATTCTCATTCTTGCCTTGGTAGAGGATTCTCCCTATAAGGATGTCCTGAATTTCAAATTTATCAAAATCAAAAATAAAATGAAATTTATTGTCTTGGTAGAGTTGATGAACAAAAAGAAGAATAGATGAGGTAGAAGGAACATGAAGTAGACTCTATAAATTAAAGGCGTCTGAATCTGTAGGTAATGTGGAATGACCTATATGGGAAATTCGTAAACCTTCTCCATTACCTATAGCCACTGTATCTAAACCATTATATTCAGCTGGAAAAGAGAGGTTGGCCATATTAGAGGTGATATGATTTGTAGCTCCATAATCAGTTAGCTAAAGATTTGGATTGAAAGTAGAAATGCCAGACGCAGCTGTCATGGCTGTAAGATTTGGCGAAGGATAATTGCCTTGATATGCATAGTTCTTGTGATCATAACAATCAACAGTAGAGTGGTTAGGCTTATTACAAATCAAGCAGACAATTCTGGGATGAGAATTGAAGTTTTCAGCTCTGAAAGAATCAGAAAAACCTCCAAATTGTGGTGCTAAATTAGGTGAATAAGGAATTTGAGATCTATATCCAGAATTGTTACGAGACTGTTGTTGATGAGATGCTCTGCCATAACCACTGCTTCAACCACCACTATGAGGAATTTCCACAACCTTGATTATTTGGAGAGTAATTTCTTGGTTGATAAGCAATCATGGTTGTAGGAATGTGCTGAAATTGATTGGACTTATGAACACCTTCAATCAAGATTTCTTCAGCATGGAAGAGAGCATGTAACTCCTCTAGTGAGATAGCTTGAGATATGGTTCTGATGGAAGTTCGAAATGCATTGTAATCAACTGGTAAATCATTTAAGGTATAGATGAGGATGTCTTCATCATCTACCATGATTCCTACTGTAGCTATCTTATCATGAGATTCTTTAATTAGTTGGAGATATAGATCAACATAATCAAAACCTTTCTTGATCATTTGAAGATCTATTTTCAATTGAATAATACTTGATCAAGAGAATGATGAAAATCTTCTCTCTAGTGCTAATCAAATATCTCTAGACGTTTTGTATCCCACAATGTGTGAGATTTCAAATGGAGATAGTGTTGCATTAATGAGAGTCATCAAAGCCTGATCATTAGTCTTCCATTGTTGATAACTTGAATCAATCTCTGAAGTTTGAACTCCAGTATCATCAAGACCATATTGCAGTGGAGAAGACAAAGTTCCAATAACATAACCTTGACGATTATGTGCTCAAAGTATAGCAGAGATCTGGAATCTCCAAGGCACATAATTGGTGGAATCAAATCATAAAGGAATCAAATTACAGATATTTTAGGGCAGAAAAATTAGACAATGAGAAGAGGTTGAAGATAAAATTGCAAATAAAGTTGCAAAAGAAGATGTGGATGAAGTAGTTTCCATTGATGGAGACTAAGGTCTCTCTTATGGCTCTGATACCATGATAAAGTTCAGAGAGAAGAAGAAGAAAGCTTAAGAATTTTATTCATTACTTTCTCAAATCACATTCTGGGGCTTTATATCACTATTTATAGAGAATACATACGTCACACTTTACATCACCCTCAAGATTATAACAGACTAACAATCTCTATAACTAACTAACTAACTGTACAGCTGTCAAGATACTCTAACTAACTGAGTCTGTGAACATTCTCTTCTTATAGCAAAACAATAATGTGAGCTGGAATGTAGGTGATGTTGTGGACTAGATTCTGGCAATGTATCTTGTAAAGAGGCTGTTGTAATCTGTGAGCAATAAGACTTGTGAATTGCTACTGCTACTGATGGTTTATCATTACATACTACTACAGGCATACAAGACCATCCCACATAATGGCAGCACTTTGATTGCTCCATATTTACATGCTGGATAGCATCTCAAGTCTCAAGTACACAAAAAAAACTATTTTCCCCTTTTTTATTGGGTTAAAAAAATTAGAGTACATCAACAATATTCAACCAACAGATAAACTATTCTTTATTAATCACCATGGAGGATTCACCAACATCATGATTTTACTAATCACTATTACTGGACGCTGCAACAATAGCAATAGTTAATCCAAATAGTCACAAGTTTCCACAACAATAACCGCCCCATATCATATTATCAAATATATGCATTAAACAAGGCACCAAGCCAGGCAAACATAGGTTAGGTTATAGCACAATAAGGCATGTAAAGACCTGAAAAATTGAATCTACAGTCAATAACATTCACAGCTGACGATGAAAAAATTGAACACACTATACCTTCCCTCTCATCTTATTGCAAGAGATCGGAATGAAAAAGAGGTCAGCATGATCCGGATCGTCTGTGTGGAACTTACTCTCTCTGATATTCTAAAAGAAATATCCCTCGCTTCCATACTTTCCTGTAAGCTTCCTCGGCGTCTGATAGAACGTATTTGGATCACCATCTAGGTAGATATAAACTTTGAATCTCCTCACCATCTCCACATAAGTCAACCTAAATATCTCTGGCAAATGATACACATCTGGTAACTCCTCCACATTATTCTCTCTAACCACCTAAATTCCACAGATACAATAAAACATAAACAGACTATGGTGAAATTCAAAAATCAAGTGTTTGTTTCTCGAGAAAATAAGAGGAAAGTGACCAAATACTTGAGAAGTATTCATAGGCAAGAAAGTCTGAGGAGGCAAGCTGGATTGGAGAGCGGGGGAATGGAGGTATCTGAGAGAGAGTGATGTGAAAGAGACTATGATTACGATAGTGAGAGTGAGGAATGAACCTTGCAGAGTGCACACGGAGGTGAAAGACGGTGGCTGTGAAGGTTTCACCGCCGACATTGCCGAAAAATATTCAGCCTGAAGTGGTGATTTTCAACGAGTTTCTTCTGAAATGTGACAGACTATGCCAGTTTAGGAAAGACTGTAGTTGGTGTTGCTTCCAGAATTTCACTAGATATGAACAATGCAAAGCCAACTGCGAGACTTCAAAAAGCGCCACGCATTTTATTATGTGTGTGCTCCTCTTTGTGTGTTGTAATAGGCCCTTAGACTGCCTCCTTCATATAGGCTGTATAGTCTTGGATTCTTGGGCTTGATCTAGGTTAAAAAAACCCATTCAAACCACTTCTTTGCCTCAAAGCTTGACCTGGGTTTGCCCGGTTTAATGTCCGATTCCCCATAATTTTTGAAGTTTTTTTTTTAAAAAAAAATTTGAAAGCCGACCTCTGGACTTATTTAGGGATAAGTCAAAATAAATTTAAAAAATAATAACTCTTAGATTTTAAGAGTTTTACTAATATTAAAATTGTTTCTCTATCATATCTATCTATATCTACATATAGATTAGTGTAAGGGGAAAAATGGGATTACCTCACATGACACTCTTCTCTAAGTTTGGAATTTTAGCTTTGCCGATTCCTCCCTACAAAACGAACGAATTGCCAAGGATCGAAGCACTTCAATCGAAGGCACTTCGATGCTTAAGTCAATAATTTGAAGAATAATAAAATTGCAGAAAGGATTCAACGTACCACTACTGTACTTTGATTGTTCCTTTTTCATAATGATCCATCTAGCTAAGATTTCAGTAACATATGTTGTAAGGAGGCACACCTTGCTTCAGTTCAGGACTTTAGTTAGGAAACTAGCAAAAAAATCTCCTAACGTTGTCCAATTGACTAACTCCTTCAGTGCCAATAGTCATGCTCATCGTTATATCAATCCCTTGATTGTAGTTATTCGTTCAAAGTGATATATTTTTAAATGTTGACCTCGGTTCTGCTGAGCCCAAACATGTAGATTCACCAACAACATGATTTTACTAATCACTATTAATGGACGCTGCAAAAATAGCAATAGTCAATCCAAATAGTCACAAGTTTCCATAACAATAAACGTCCCATATCACATTATCAAATATATGTATCAAACAAGGCACCACGCCAGGCAAACATAGGTTAGGGTATAGCACTATAAGTCATGTAAAAACCTAGAAAATTGAATCTAGAGTCAATAACATTCACAGCCAACGATGAAAAAATCGAATACACTGTACCTTCCCTCTCATCTTATGCCAAGAGATCAGAATGAAAAAGAGGTCAGCCTGATCCGGACTGTCCTTGCGAAACTTACTCTCTTTGATATTCTTAAAGAAATATCCCTCGCTCGTATACTTTCCTGTAAGCTTCCTCTACGTCTGATAGAACATATTTGGATCACCATCTGGGTAGATATAAACTTTGACTCTCCTCACCATCTTTGCATAAATCAGCCTAAATATCTCCGGCGAATGATGCACATCCTGTAACTCCTCCTCCACATTATTCTCCCTAACCAACTAAATTCCACAGATATAATAAAACATAAAGAGACTATAGAGAAATTCAAAAATCAAGTGTTTGTTTCTTGAGAAAATAAAAGGAAAGTGAGCAAATACCTGAGAAGTATTAATACGCAAGAAAGTCTGAGGAGGCGAGCTAGATTGGGTAGCGGGGGAATGGAGGTATGTGATAGAGAGTGATGTGTAAGAGACTATGGTTACGATTGCGAGAGTTAGGAAAGAACCATACATAGTGCATACAGAGGTGGAAGATGGTAGCTGTGAAGGTTTCACTACCGACATTGCCGAAAAATATTTAGCTGGAAGTGGTGATTCCCGGCGAGTTTCTTCTAAAACGTGACAGACTATGCCAGTTTAGGAAGGAGTGTAGTTGGTGTTGCTTCCAGAATTTCACTAAATGTGAACAACGTGAAGCTAGCTACGTGACTTTAGAAAGCGCCACGCGCTTTTTTATGCGCGTGCTCTTATTTGTGTGTTGTAATAGGCCCCTGAACTTCCTCCATCATATGGGTTGTATTGTCTTAGACTCTTGGGCTCGATCTAGCTTAAACAGCCCAATCCAACCTTTTCTTTGCCACAAAGCCTAACATGGGTGTGCCCGGTTCAATGTCCAGTTCCCCCAAATTTTGTTGTTTTTTTTTTTGAAAAATTTCAAAGCCGGGCCTCTGGAATTATTTAGGGATAAGTCTATAAAAGAAACTTATTTATTCTTAAGTCTGTTTTGTTTTAACTATCCAAAATATCTCCAATAGTTATATTTAATTAAAATAAATTTTAAAAATAATAACTCTTAGAATTTAAGAGTTTTACTAATATTAAAATTGTTTCTCTATCATATCTATCTATATCTACATATAGATTAGTGTAAAGGGAAAAAAAATGGGACTACCTCACGTGACACTCTTCTCTAGGTTTGGATTCTTAGCTTTGTCGATTCCTCCTTGCAAAACGAACGAATTGTCAAGGATTGAAGTGCTTTGATCGAAGGCACTTCGATGCTTAAGTCAATAATTTGAAGAATAATGAAATTGCAAAAAGGATTCAACGTACCACTACTGTACTCTGATTGTTCCGTTTTTATAATGATCCTTCTAGCTAAGATTTCGGTAACATATGTTATAAGGTGGCACACCTTGCTTTGTTTAAGGACTTTAGCTAGGAAACTAGCAAAATCTCTCCTAACGCCCTCCAATTGACTAATTTCTTTCGTGCCAATAATCATGCTCATCAGTTATATCAATCCTTTGATTGTAGTTATTCGTTCAAGGTGATATCTTTTTAAATGTTGAGCTCAGTTCTGTTGAGGCCGAACATGTAGATTCACCCGCATCATGATTTTACTAATCACTATTACTGGACGCTACAACAATCGCAATAGTCAATCCAAATAGTCACAAGTTTCCATAACAATAAACGCCCTATATCACATTATAAAATATATGCAACAAACAAGGCACCACGCTAGGCAAACATAGGTTAGGTTATAGCACTATAAGTCATGTAAAGACCTGGAAAATTGAATCTATAGTCAATAACATTCATAGCCGACGATGAAAAAATTGAACACACCGTACATTCCATCTCATCTTATGGAAAGAGATTGAAATGAAAAAGCGGTCAGCCAGATCTCGATCGTCCGTACAGAACTTACTCTCTCTGATATTCTGAAAGAAATATCCCTCGCTCGCGTACTTTCCTATAAGCTTCCTCGGCATCTGATAGAACGTATTTGGATCACCATCTAGGTAGATATAAACTTTGAATCTCCTCACCATCTCCGCATAAGTCAACCTAAATATCTCCGGTGAATGATACAAATCCGATAACTCCTCCTCCACATTATTCTCTCTAACCACCTAAATTTCGCAGATATATTGAACCATAGAGAGACTACAGTGAAATTCAAAAATCAAGTGTTTTTTTCTCGAGAAAATAAGAGGAAAGTGAGCTAATACCTAAGTATTAATAGGCAAGAAATTCTGTGGAGGCGAGCTAGATTGGAGAGCAAGGGAATGAAGGTATCTAAGAGAGAGTTATGTGAAAGAGACTATGTTTACGATTGCCTAAGGAAAAACCTTGTCGAGTGCATACAAAGGTGGAAGACGGTGGCTGTAAAGGTTTCGCCGTTGACATTGCCGAAAAATATTCAGCCGGAAGTGGTGATTTTCGGTGAGTTTCTTCTGAAACGAGGTGGACTATGACAGTTTTGGAAGGAGTGTAGTTGGTGTTTCTTCCAGAATTTCACTAGATGTGAACAGCGCGAAGCCAGCTACGTGACTTCGGAAAGTGCCACACGTTTTTTTATGTGCGTGCTCCTGTTTGTGTGTTTTAATAGGCCCTTGGACTTCCTCCTTCATATAGTCTGTATAGTATTGGATTCTTGGGCTTGATCTAGGTTAAACAGCCCAATCTAACCTCTTCTTTGCCACAAAGCCTAACTTGGGTGTGCCTGGTTTAACGTCCGGTTCCCCCTAATTTGTTTTTGAAAAATTTAAAAGCTAGCCTCTAGACTTATTTGGGCATAAGTCTATAAAAGAAACTTAGTTATTATTAAGTCTGTTTCGCTTTAAATTATCCAAAAAAACCCTCAATAGTTATATTTAATTAAAATAAATTGAAAAAATAATAACTCTTAAATTTTAAGAGTATTAATAATATTAAAATTGTTTCTCTATCATATCTATCTATATCTACATAAAGATTAGTGTAAGGGGAAAAAATGGGATTACCTCACGTGACACGCTTCTCTAAGTTTGGAATTTTAGCTTTGTTGATTCCTCCCTGCAAAACAAATGAACTACCAAGGATCGAAGCGCTTCGATCGAAGGCATTCCGATGCTTAAGTCAATAATTTGTAGAATAATGAAATCGCAAAAAGGATTCAACGTACCACTACTGTATTTTGATTGTTCCTTTTTTATAATGATCCTTCTAGCTAAGATTTCAGTAACATATGCTGTAAGGTGGCACACCTTGCTTCAGTTCAGGACTTTAGTTAGGAAACTAGCAAAAATCTCTCCTAACGTTGTCCAATTGACTAACTCCTTCAGTGCCAATAATCATGCTCATCGGTTATATCAATCCCTTGATTGTAGTTATTCGTTCAAAGTGATATATTTTTAAATGTTGAGTTCGGCTCTGCTGAGGCCGAACATGTAGATTCACCAACATCATGATTTTACTAATCACTATTAATGGATGCTGCAAAAATAGCAATAGTCAATCCAAATAGTCACAAGTTTTCACAACAATAAACGCCCCATATCACATTATCAAATATATGCATCAAACAAGGAACCACACCAGGCAAACATAGGCTAGGTTATAGCACTATAAGTCATGTAAAAACCTAGAAAATTTAATCTAGAGTCAATAACATTCACAGCCGACAATGAAAAAATCGAATACACTGTACCTTCCCTCTCATCTTATGCCAAGAGATCGGAATGAAAAAGAGGTCAGCCTGATCTGGATTGTCCTTGCGAAACTTACTCTCTCGGATATTCTTAAAGAAATATCCCTCGCTCGTATACTTTCCTATAAGCTTCCTCAACGTCTGATAGAACATATTTGGATCACCATCTGGGTAGATATAAACTTTGAATCTCCTCCCCATCTTTGCATAAATCAGCCTAAATATCTCTGGCGAATGATGCACATCCGGTAACTCCTCCTCCACATTATTCTCCCTAACCAAATAAATTCCACGGATATAATAAAACATAGAGAGACTATAGAGAAATTCAAAAATCAAGTGTTTGTTTCTTGAGAAAATAAAAGGAAAGTGAGCAAATACCTGAGAAGTATCAATACGCAAGAAAGTCTGAGGAGGCGAGCTAGATTGGGTAGCGGGGGAATGGAGGTATGTGATAGAGAGTGATGTGAAAGAGACTATAGTTACGATTGCGAGAGTTAGGAAAGAACCATACATAGTGCATACAGAGGTGGAAGACAGTAGCTGTGAAGGTTTCACCGCCGACATTGCTGAAAAATATTCATCTGGAAGTGGTGATTTCCGGCGATTTTCTTCTAAAACGTGACAGACTATGCCAATTTAGGAAGGAGTGTAGTTGGTGTTGCTTCCAGAATTTCACTAGATGTGAACAACGCGAAGCTAGCTACATGACTTCAAAAAGCGCCACGCGCTTTTTTATGCGCGTGCTCCTGTTTGTGTGTTGTAATAGGCCCCTGAACTTCCTCCTTCATATGGGTTGTATAGTCTTGGACTCTTGTGCTTGATCTAGCTTAAACAGCCCAATCCAACCTTTTCTTTGCCACAAAGACTAACATGGGTGTGCCCGGGTTAATGTCCAGTTCCCCCAAATTTTTGTTTTTTTTTTTTTTGAAAAATTTCAAAGTTGGCCTCTGGAATTATTTAGGGATAAGTCTATAAAAGAAACTTATTTATTCTTAAGTTTTGTTTTGCTTTAACTATCCAAAATATCCCCAATAGTTATATTTAATTAAAATAAATTTTAAAAATAATAACTCTTAGAATTTAAGAGTTTTACTAATATTAAAATTGTTTCTCTATCATATCTATCTATATCTACATATAGATTAGTGTAAAGGGAAAAAAATGGGACTACCTCACGTGACACTCTTATCTGGGTTTGGATTTGTAGCTTTGTAGATTCCTCCTTGCAAAACGAACGAATTGCCAAGGATTGAAGTGCTTTGATCGAAGGCACTTCGATGTTTAAGTCAATAATTTGAAGAATAATGAAATTGCAAAAAGAATTCAACGTACCACTACTGTACTCTGATTGTTCCTTTTTTATAATGATCCTTCTAGCTAAGATTTCGATAACATATGCTGTAAGGTGGCAAACCATGCTTTGGTTCAGGACTTTAGTTAGGAAACTAGCAAAAATCTCTCCTAACGCCCTCCAATTGACTTACTTCTTCCATGCCAATAATCATGTTCATCAGTTATATCAATCCCTTGATTGTAGTTATTCGTTCAAGGTGATATCTTTTTAAATGTTGAGCTCGGTTCTGTTGAGGCCGAACATGTAGATTCACCCACATCATGATTTTACTAATCACTATTACTGGACGCTACAACAATAGCAATAGTCAATCCAAATAGTCACAAGTTTCCACAACAATAAATGCCCCATATCACATTATCAAATATATGCAACAAACAAGGCACCACGCTAGGCAAACATAGGTTAGGTTATAGCACTATAAGTCATGTAAAGACCTGGAAAATTGAATCTATAGTCAATAACATTCACAGAAAAATCGAACACACTGTACCTTCCCTCTTATCTTATGGCAAAAGATCGGAATGAAAAAGAGGTCAGCCTGATCCAAATCGTCCGTACAGAACCTACTCTCTCTGATATTCTAAAAGAAATATCCCTCGCTTGCGTACTTTCCTATAAGCTTCCTCGACATCTGATAGAACATATTTGGATCACCATCTAGGTAGATATAAAATTTGAATCACCTCTCCATCTCTGCATAAGTCAACCTAAATATCTCCGGCTAATGATACACATCCAGTAACTCCTCCTCCACATTATTCTCTCTAACCACCTAAATTTCGCAGATATATTAAACCATAGAGAGACTATAGTGAAATTCAAAAATCAAGTGTTCTTTTCTCAAGAAAATAAGAGGAAAGTGAGCAAATACCTAAGTATTAATAGGCAAGAAAGTCTGTGGAGACGAGCTAGAATAGAGAGCGAGGAAATGAAGGTATCTGAGAGAGTGTGATGTGAAAGAGACTATGGTTACGATTGCGAGAGTGAGGAAAAACCTTGCAGTCTGCATACAGAGATGGAAGACGGTGGCTATAAAGGTTTCGCCGTTGACATTGCCGAAAAATATTCAGCCGAAAGTGGTGATTTTCGGCAAGTTTCTTCTGAAACGTGATGGACTATGCCAGTTTTGGAAGGAGTGTAGTTGGTGTTTCTTCCAGAATTTCACTAGATGTGAACAACGCGAGGCTAGCTATGTGACATTAGAAAGCGCCACGCGCTTTTTTATGTGCGTGCTCCTGTTTGTGTTTTGTAATAGGCCCTTGAACTTCCTCCTTCATATAGTCTGTATAGTATTGGATTCTTGGACTTGATCTAGGTTAAACAGCCTAATCCAATCTCTTCTTTGCCACAAAGCCTGACTTGGGTGTGCCTGGTTTAATGTCAAGTTCCCCCTAATTTGTTTTTGAAAAATTTCAAAGCCGGCCTCTAGACTTATTTGGGCATAAGTCTATAAAAGAAACTTAGTTATTATTAAGTCTGTTTTGCTTTAAATTATCCAAAATACCCTCAATAGTTATATTTAATTAAAATAAATTGAAAAAATAGTAACTCTTAAATTTTAAGAGTTTTACTAATATTAAAATTGTTTCTCTATCATATCTATCTATATCTACATATAGATTAGTGTAAGGGTAAAAAATGGGATTACCTCACGTGACACTCTTCTCTGGGTTTGGAATTTTAGCTTTGTCGATTCCTCCCTGCAAAACGAACGAACTGCCAAGGATCGAAGCGCTTCGATCGAAGGCACTCCGATGCTTAAGTCAATAATTTGAAGAATAATGAAATTGCAAAAAGGATTCAACGTACCACTACTGTAATTTGATTGTTCCTTTTTTATAATGATCCTTCTGGCTAAGATTTCAGTAACATATACTCTACGGTGGCACACCTTGCTTCAGTTCAGGACTTTAGTTAGGAAACTAGCAAAAATCTCTCCTAACGTTGTCCAATTGACTAACTCCTTCCGTGCCAATAATCATGCTCATCGGTTATATCAATCTGTTGATTGTAGTTATTCATTCAAAGTGATATCTTTTTAAATGTTGAGCTCGGTTCTGCTGAGGCCGAACATGTGGATTCACCAACATAATGATTTTACTAATCACTATTAATGGACTCTGCAAAAATAGCAATAGTCAATCCAAATAGTCACAAGTTTCCACAACAACAAACGCCCCATATCACATTATCAAATATATGCATCAAACAAGGCACCACGCCAGGCAAATAGAGGTTAGGTTATAGCACTATAAGTCATGTAAAGACTTGGAAAATTGAATCTACAATCAATAACATTCACAGCCGACGATGGAAAAATTGAACACACTGTACCTTCCCTCTCATCTTATGGCAAGAGATCGGAATGCAAAAGAGGGGAGTACATTTTGCCGTTGGTTGCTTGATAGCTACAATGGCTTCTTATTTTCTTAGGGTGGGGTTATTCCCACCCATTTAATTTCTCATTATCAAACTACTAAATTCATTCCTTCAATACCCACCTCATTAGTTACTAAGTCCACCTCATACTACATATACCCCTTTAATAAGTAAACTCACTTTATATTTTGTCATAATTTAGGTTTCATTCTCTATCTCATCTCTTGCACTCACAGAAACACTTTTTCATTATGAATTTTTCCAATAATATATAGGTTAGTATTACTTCCCACTTTAATTCTATATTTGATTTTTTGTTTTTTATATGGATTTTTATTATTTTCAGTATATTTTGATATCTATTTCAAGTTTAATAATTTTTTATTTATAATATGTATGTATATATATGTATGCTTTCAGATTATTTTTTCTTTTTTATCTTGTTTAGGTTTTGCATTGATGCTACCTTTTTATTTGGTTCGATTTTGTGTTTGTGCTTGATGTTTGTTTGTTTGTTTGTTTTTTTCATGTTCAATTTTTTTCCTTCTTGTTTTGGTTTGCTTCTTTTTTTCTAATTTGTCCTTATTTTGCTCTTTCCTTTTTTCTTGTTTCGGCATGCTTATTTTTTTTAACTTGTTTCTTTTTTGGTTGTTTTTTTCCTTGGTTCTTTTTTTTTTTGTTTCGTAAATATATATATGCATTCAAACTAATTATTTTTTTTCATTATTTTTTTCCTACGAATACTTCTTTCATTAAAAGGGTGTATATAGAATGAGTGAGCTTAACTATTAATAGGATGTATATAGAATAGGATGGACTTAGTTACTAATAGGATGAGTATAAAAGAGATGAACTTAGTAGTTTGATAATGAGAAATTAAATGGGTTGAAAATGGAGATTTGTGGGGTGACAACAACCCCACCCATTTTCTTATTCTTTTATAACCATTGTGTATTAAATTGTATTTGTGCTTACATGGGAAAGACAATTTTCTAGAAATGTTGGTGCATTTGCATTTAATATTTATATCTATCAAATGTCCTCAATATCAGAAAGTCTCATTCTTTCTCACATTCTACTCTGTTCTATGAAAAGATTGACAACCAAAGTCATCTAAAAATTATGGTATCCCTGCTCCCACTTAATTCTATGTTACTACCTTCCTTGTATTGGAACGCATTCAAAATTATTACTCGCCAAATTTCTGTATTACTGAATGAGTTGCCATAAAATTGTTGTTCGTGTCGACTACTTGCCATAAGATTACAGTCCATGACCTCTACTTGACTCAGTTAAACGTTCTTTGAGTATCCTGAATATGGAGATACTAAAAATTCTCTAGCCATGCCATTTTCATGCCTTCTTTTCACTCTTTAATTTTTACTTGAATTGATGTTGCTGCTTTCACTAACCTATTTTTAGCTAAAATCAATTAATTTGTGTTTTCTAAAAGACATCGACATATTTGTGATGAGGAAAAAGAAGTTAAAAAAAATTAAAATGGCTTGTTTCTTATCAAAAATTAGTTTGAAATTAGATCCTACCAAATTTAACTTTGTACTAACATTTTAATATGATCACATTAAGTTTATTGATATATAAGTTAGTCTTCACAATTTTTTGCTTCAAAAAGAACAAATCAAGATAATTCAACTATATAGTAAACCACATATAATTTTTTCACAAATATATACTTGTTATTAAAATTATTTCATAATTTATACTATGAAAATAACATTATAACTATAATTCAAAATGGTTCATGTATAATGCAAGTATGCATTAATTATTTTTAAAAACGTCAATTTAATTGACATTTTTATTAATGGTGATGATCACCATTGTCACGAGTTCAATAGATGAGATTCAAGTAACATGACATAGAACAACAACGGGAGTGTGTAGATTTTCACAACTTCAAACGTTAGTGGAATTGACATTTTGAAGATTCAACATGATTTTTTATTTTTATTTTTTTGGTTCCTTAGCTTCCGGGAAGGATCAACAATTTTATTTTAGAAGAATTACATTCAACCTTCTTGAAGTTTGTCATTTATATAAGTGTAACCCTTAGACACCTGCTCTCTATGTCTGTTAGTATATTCATTAATAAATTACACTCAAGCCTCTTTAAGTTTGTAGGCATACAATATTTAAATCCCTTAAGTTTAAAATGTTATATTTAGACAAAAAAATATTACAATTAAAGATAAAATACCAAATATTTTAAATTTTACAACTAAAATTCATGTTCTATTATATCATTTATTGAAATAAATTACAAATAAAAATTTAATTTTTTCTTAAAAATTCGTAATTAGTATACAATTATACTATTTATTGGAATAAAACTAAAAAAATCAAACAAATGGTCTATGTCATTCATAATAGAACATGTATTTAACAACCAAAATTTATTTTATATTATGTTATTTATTGAAATAAAATAAAAAATAAAAACTAATTTTTTTAAAAAAAATCTTAATTAGTATACAATTATACTATCTATTGGAATAAAATTTAAAAAATAAAACAAGTGATCAAACTGTAATGGATATGATATCTTTTAAATTTAATTGGGATTATTTGGTAGTTTAATTTGGTCATTTAAACGACCAAATTAAATTTCAATAGATAGTATAATTGTGTACTAATTATAAATTTTTAAGAAAAAAAATTAGATATTTATTTTTTGATTTTATTTCAATAAATATCATAATATAACATGAATTTTGATTGTAAAATTTAAAATATTTGATATTTTATTTTTAATTTGAGTATTTTTTGTCTAAATATAATCTTTTAAATTTAGGGAGAATACGAATTACACGCTTATAAATTTTAGGGGGTATTGGTGTAATTTCTTAACGAATGGGGTGTAAGTGTTACGCGCTTACAAACCTTAGGAGGTCTAAGTGTTACACGAATACGAGTTTGTGCATAATATGCCAAATAACAAAGGGTCTAAGTAATTAAGTGACAAAACTTCGGGGGTTTGAATATAATTCTCTCATTTATTTTTAAAATATCAATTCAATTAAAGTTTCTATTTAAAATATCAATTGAACTGGCATTTTTAAAAATGAAAAATTACACTCAGATTTTCTTAGATTTTTCATTTAATCACTCAGATTCCCTGACATTTGAAATATTACACATAAACCTCTTAAAGTTTTACTAGTGTAAACTTTGACTCTTACCGTCAATATTTGTTAGTAAATTATACCTAGACCCCTTAAATTTTGTAGGCTTGTAATACTTTGACCCCTCAAGTTTAAATTTAATACTTACACCAAAAATACTTCAATTAAAGATATAATATCAAATATTTTAAATTTTACAATCAAAATTCATGTTCTATTATGACATTTATTGAAATAAAATCAAAAAAAAAATCTAATTTTTCTTAAAATAATCATAATTAGTATACAATTATACTATCTATTAGAATTTAATTTGGTTATTTCAAACGACTAAATTAAACTTCCAAACTACCCTATTTAAAGTTAGAAGATATTGTACTCATTACAATTTAACCATTTGTTTGATTTTTTAGTTTAATTCATATAGATAACATAATAGAATTCTAATTATAATTTTTAAAGAAAAAATTAGATTTTTATTTTTAAATTTATTTTAATAAATGACATAATAGAACATGAATTTTGATTGTAAAATTCATGTTCTATTATGAATGACTTAGACCCTTGGTTTGATTTTTTAGTTTTATTCCAACAGATAGTATAATTGTATATTAATTATGATTTTTTAATAAAAAAATAAATTTTTATTTTTTATTTTATTTCAATAAATGATATAATAGAGTATGAATTTTATTTGTAAAATATAAAATATGTGATATTTTATTTTTAATTTATAACATTTTAAACTTGTAGAGTCTAAACATTATATGCATACAAATTTTAGAAGTCTAAAAATAATTTACTATAATATATATTGATGGACATTAACGGCAAGAGTCTAAATATCACGCACATACAAAATTTTTTATATACCTTTAGTGCATCTTCCCCTTAAAGAAAGAAAGATCATAAAGACTTACCAGGAGAGATTGGGGAAACCAAGCAGTTCATAATTCATCCTGCATGGCTGAAAATGGTAAGCTACACATAGTTATGTTCCCATCCCGTGGCTTGCCTTTGGTCATATGATTCCGTACTTAGAACTGACCAAGCTTATAGTCCAAAAGGGGCATAAAATCTCCTTCGTTTCCACTCCTAGAAACATTGATCGTCTTCCAAAACTGCCTCCAAATTTATCACCTTTCATAGATTTCGTAAAGCTTACACTACCGCATGTCGAAAACCTGTCTCGAACACAGAGGCCACCATTGACGTACCTTATGACAAGGGCAAGTACCTCAAGATCGCCTACGATGGTCTCAAAGAACCCGTGACGCAGTTCCTCAAAAATTCTTCTCCTGACTGGGTGTTCTATGATTTTGCACCCTACTGGTTAGGCTCTGTTGCAGTTGAACTCAATATTTCCAGTACTTTCTTCAGCATCTTCGCTGCAGCTTTTTTGGCCTTTATCGGTCCTGTACCGGTTCTAAATGGCACTAAAGATGCTCGGACGAAGCCAGACGACTTCACTGTCCCGTCTAAATGGGTACCGTTTGAAACAACGGTTACGTTTCGGCTCTTCGAGATCATGCGCATCTTTGACAGCGCCACCGGAGATGAAGACAACATTGCGGACTTGTATCATTTTGGAGGAACCATCGAAGGCTGTGAGGAGCTGTTTGCACTTTGAACCGGAATGGTACAGTAGCGGATTATTTGGTTACATTATAATTTTTTATTTTTGGCAAATCCCGTTAGAGTTAGTAGAAGATGTTGGTTATTGAGATTGGGTCGATACTAGCTTAGTGATAATGGTAATACAGCACCACATGGTATGATAGACATGCACTTTGCTTGTAGCTTCTCTTTCCTTTTTGATTTGTTTAATTACTTTTTAGCTAAATGCAATCATGCATTTTGTCTTTTTGTTTGTGTTTGATTATTTTATTGGGCCATATATATATATATATATATATGATGATTATTTTAGGGTTTTTGTCGGGTTTGTAAATGGGTTTTGATTAGTTTAATTATTTGCAGCTTTTCGTTTGCAAGTAAGCATAATTATTAAATGTTACTCTGTTTATTGGTTCTATTTTTAGTGTATTTAAGTGACATGGTTAATTATTATGATTTTGGTCATTGCCCTAATAAAATGTCTTTGGTTGAAATGAGCACAATGACAACGGAGTTGGGGTATGACGAAGCTAATATGTCCATTAAATTTCATTTTAAAATCAATCGAATTCATCCGCATAATGTATCTAGGTTGATACTGAACGATGTTAATGCTTTGAGGTTGGAAATTTTTTTTATAATGATATAATTATTAATGTTTATATTGAACATAATAGACTTATTCAACCAAGTTAGGTGGATTCAAGTGAAGATTTGATGTATATTGTTGACAAAGCAAGTGAGAATGATGATCGGAGGAAGATATCATATTGTACACGGGTCTAAGTATAATTTACCCTTTTTCAAATTTTAGAATTAGTCTCATGGAGAAAATCTGGCCACCCCCAACTCATTGGCACCATTTCAAGCCGCTACCCATTTATCTTAAAAACAATTGTACACTTGATGTAATTCAGTGTCGAAGTTAACAATTGTAAGTGTATTGCTATCACCTCATTTTAATAAAGAAAAACTAGTTTTTCCATATTGGTTTTATTGTGAAGTTTTTCGATATAAGGATCAATGTTTAACTTGATATTGAGCTATTAATTACGATGCGTCAATATATTAGCATACCATTGAGAATTTTAGAATGGATTGACTCCATAGATTTCTGCTCTAGCGAAGGGTTTGAAGATCGTCGAGCTTTACTTGACAAATCTAAAATATGAAAATAATGAGAAAAGGAGACATCTCTTTTACCAAGTATAATTTATGTTTATTGCAATTTTATTTTTCATATTTTAGGTCCTAAGCAAAATGAGCAATGCTACATGCACTTAAAAATTAAACTTAAAAAGTAAACTTGATAATTACGACCATTGATTTCACTGAGGGTTCTAGCATTTATTGGAACTCATTACCTATTTAATGGTTGTGATTATCAAATCTACTATTTAAATCTAATTTTTAAGTTCATATAACATTACTCAAGCAAAATTATCAGTGGGGAAAGCCATACACAGTACCCATCAAAACAAGTAAAGAATTGTTGTGCATTTGATCTCTCATCTCTTAGTTGCCACTCATCTTTCATCTCTCAGTGTTCAACCTTCAATCGTGTGTTTCTCCATCAAAATCTGGTAACGTTCTATTCTCTTATCTCTTAGTATAAGAGCAGGCGACAAATGAGTGTCAAAGTGATAGCTCTGATCTCTTGTAAGAGCAGCCTACAGTTGAGTGTCAAAGTGATAGCTCTTATCTCTCGTTTGTCTCTCATCTCTCCAGACTACTGTTGTTCTGAATAATAACCAGAGGACTCCACATCCTTCATCCTTATTCATTCATCTCTACTATCTAGTGAGGGCACTACATAGATTGTCTAAGGTTAGGGTTTGAACATTTTGGAGCATTATTTTATTAGAGATTTGCAAGAAAACATGAGATCCTTTATTCCTAATATTTTTCAACACCATATTGAATTTGTGATTTTGGTTTTAACCATTGTTTTACAACAGTACATAACAAATTGGCAATAGATATAGAAATGGTTTAAGGGATTTCATTGGTTTTTTTCATCTCCTTTATAACATATGGGTTTCGATCTGGAGTTGGTGGAGAATAATTCTCGTAGGAATGCACTGGTTTAGTAAAGATGCTGGATTTTGGTTTATACTTGTTGAGTTTAATTCAGTCTAAAATTGAGCCCGAATTGACTAATCTGATTTGAACTCAAAATTTAACAAATTAAGTTGGGTAGTACTCGGGTTGAGTACTTCGGGTTGAAGTCGGGTTTGGGTTCGATTAGAGTTAAAGGTTTCGTAACTTGTGTAGGGCTTGGGTTGACCCACCCGAATTGTACCCCTAAGATATTCAAATTAGTTGATGTTGAAAAAATGGTTTTAAACAAGTTATTTTTGAGCAACTTTGAGCTTAAATAAAAATGGGACACATACCTCAAAATTGGTAAGATCAAGTGTAAACCATAATTATCAGAACCGGACTGGACATTGAACTGACAGAGGGACCAAGTCAATGGTCTATTGGTTCAACCATTGGGTTAATTGGTCGGACTGGTCATATAAATAAAAAATAAAAAAATATTGTTAATTATAAAAATGCTAAAAAAATAATATAGTTATAAAAATGAGATGTTTTATGTGTAGTGATAACATTGTGATAACCCAACAAAACACTGAAAAAACTTTGGAACTTCCTGTCCCGCTTCAACAAAGCATTGAAATCAAATACACTTCTTGTGTCTATAAGACTTACCTCAGTCGCCTCCATCTAACATGGGATTGGGACATGGCACATGTGACGCCCCTAAAAACGGGGGTCCTTTGTCAATCTATTGATCACCCATCAACTCGCGAAATACTCGTAGATACCGTGTAAATCGATATCACACCGTTATGCCCCATTTACTGGGATCCATAATTTAACAAAATTTGGGCAGAGTCTCTTTTGTACGGAGAGCTCTACCCAAAAACACAACTTGTGCGATCATACAACTTGACCACAACGGGTTTGTTTATGAGTAAACATTGACCACACCGGGTCCATTTATCCATACCCATATAATAACACGCAATGTAACACTAAAATAGTTCATATGAGTTCGATTATAATTTTTTTATATACATTACATGCCCAAAAAGTAATTTAGCGAATGTTTTACAAAAGTATAGTTTTTCACAATAATTTTACAAAACCTGAATTAAAAGTCACAAGTCGACTTTTCTTCATCCTTGAGGCCCCAAGTGAGAGCCTTCCACCAGTGTGTACCCCGTACCTGAAATGTTGTTCCTATAAAGGGTGAGTCACGCTCAATAAGGTAACTCCTAAAGAGGCTACTCCCCAACCTAGATGCATATGAAATGTCACATGCAACATTCAACAAGCAATAACCATCACAAACAAGAATATGCAATTCAATATTGGAATTCTACTATGTCATGCCATAAAATGAGATGAGACTCACTCATGCACTTTAACCCGAACCCTCACCGGCTCCCATAACACAATACAATTGTAATGTGTAATAAACCCGCCATTGATGTTATGCATCTGATGACATTTTTGCATGAAAAAAAAATCATGTGTCTTTGTTGGGTAGTAGAGTTTTGGTGTCGCACTGCTGGTTCCGCACACCGATACACTTTTTTGAACTTCTTGTTATACCCGACATAAGTTTTTCATGCAACTCATGCGACTTCGTTGAACCTTGGTCCAACTATACCGAGCCCACTTGCCAACCACCATGGATGGTATTTAACCTAACAATAAGCACACACACTCACACTCATGCCTCATGCCCATGAATATGATGTCTCTGTGCATATGCAATGTAATGAGCCATTGCAACATCAATATCATATCCATATGTAATGAATGCCACATGGATTATTTCTACCACATTTCAACACATGTCATGGATACTTACATCCTAAGCAAATAATTTTCATAATTGCCAATATATCATAAGCACATATCAATATTTGCATTTTCAATTATAATTCATATCATAAACATATGATTTCACTTTACAACATCATCTAAGCATGTTATCACATAATCTCATGCAATTAACACACTTTATTTCACATGGGCATTTTATCAAATACCTTCAAGGCACCAAATCATGTAATCACATAAAATGCCCAAATTTATTACATAACTCAAAAAAAAATCAAATTAAGTGATTTCCACATACCCAATTAGCAAAACTTACAAGAAATCACAAACTAGCAATTTCTAATTACCAATTCACACTAGAATTGAATCAACCCATTTTCATTACATCAACTACAATAGGCAAGTGTGAAATACACAAAACAACCCACTCATTTCATATATTCATCCTACGTTAGAAATAAACCTAGTTATGATGAAAACACTATCTCTTGAAGCGTAAAACAATGTTGGTAAGCTCCAAGAATACACCTCCAAGCTCAAATCTTGATTTCTTCAAAATTCCGTCTTGGAAATTTCGGTGAAATTTGCTCTTTTTGATACGTAAGCATAGCTCTCGTCGAGTAGATCGACTTTAACTCTTGGACTGAAAGATTTCGACTGACGGAACTCCGTAGATCATAGAAAGAAGCCTTGAAATCTCCTTTTTTTTTTCTCTCATTTCCCTCTCTTCTTCTTCACACGTTAAACACACTGGAATTAGCAAAGAATTTTGTCCAAAAAATCAAATTTTTGTTCCTATTTATACCTTTTAACTCTTGGTCCACGTCGCGCCACATGTCCCCCATTCCCGGGTTTGTTTTCGCCCCAAAATGATTAAATTTTGTCTCGGTTCAAGCTCAAAATATTTTATATAAATTTTCTTTAAATTATTTTTAAACTTTCAAAATTTTATTAAAAAATTAGTTTTTGGGTCACCCGAGACTAAGCGCCTCGTAAAATGCAAAAAAAATCTGACTATCTCGAAATCTGATGAAATTTGTCTAAATAACTAGATTTTATGAAACGAATCCAACGGTAAGGCCCGTTTCGTCATTCGAACTCTAAAGAAATACGGGTTTTCAATTCGCACTATAGTGACAAATTACCATTGGCCTT